TGTTAGTGATTGGAGTGAGAGCGATAAGTTTCATTTTTCTCCTTGTAGGTCATTCTTGACTTACCAATCATTTTCCATACTTTCAAACTTTAGAAGAAACACAAACGAATGCATCTTTCTAGTTCTTTGTTCATGCACGCATTTTTTTAGAGAGAGGGGTAAGAGATGGCAGCAGTCAGACATACTCATTTTTTTGAAGAGAAAAAACAGGATAAGGGACAACAACTATTAGGCACGCACATAGTTTTTTGGAGAGGAAGAAACTCTTGCTCCAATACTATGATACTCCGTACAATTTATAAATGGTCTTATTTAATAATGAGGATTTTCATCATTTCTAATATCCATGATAAAATTTAGAATGCTGTATGAATCACGTGATTGGGTAATAAGACACTTGAATTGAATGATATTAAAAGATTGAATCCAATCGGTTACTTAGTTCAACTTAAGAGATTGTATGTCGATTACTTTTCTCNCCCCCCCCCCCCCCCAAGTAGACAAAAAGACCACTTTGAATCTAACCGGTTGATCACATACAAGTGGATTCTCATCCCCTGATATGAATATTTAAGCGACAATACCTAAAAGACCATAAGCTGCTGGGTATGGACTTTCAGATGAATAATTGGGTTAAATGGGCCAGAGACACAGATAACTTGGCTAAAGACTTGAGCCGCTAGGATTGAACGTCTAGCCGGACACCTTGACAAAAGAGGTGGGCCAAAACCTTCCTTGATGTCATGATATATGGATAACTGAATTGGGAAATAAGATATTCTGATTGAACCATATTAAAAGATTAATTTTAATCGATTACTTAATTCAAACCAAGAATTTATATACCGATTATTTTTTCTTCAACTTCTAATTTGTGATACTATTAACATAATGAATTGAATATTTTGTATTTACATTGAGTGCAAACGCCAAACGCACTGGATGTGTTAGGCCTAATGGACAATTAGACATCATGCACATGGATCCGGTTCAATACACTCACCCCATATTACTCCGTATTTCTTTAGTCAAGTTATAAACTCACCATAGTTATACAAATTACGAATTTGCACATAAACATTCAATTTTCGTCTATAAACTATGTAACTTTGCAAATATTCACGGACGATAGATTATCATTTACATGTGTACAAATTCATAGCGTCATCTACTCTATTGTGTTAGCATCTTGGTTATCTTTTAAACATATGCTAATCACACACATTATTTAAATTATTAATCCACATGATGATGACGTACACTTTGAAAAATTGGAAAGGAATGCATCAAATTTTATATTGGTCGTCCACCACTACCACTATATATTCTTCCACTAATATATCATATTCACACACATCCACCCAATACCAACCAATACGGAGATTGGCCAACTCTTTAATCCAAGCGCTCTCCTAACCATGTACGGCTTCCGTCACACTAAACATTTTAACTTTTTCATTTTATCTGTCTTATAAAATATTTTAATTTTTTCAAAATGGATTAAAATAGAAGAATTTACCTAAACACAAAAACATAATGACTTTCCCAAAATCGCATTATATATTTTTATTTTCTAATGTAATACTTTTAGTCATTATCTATTAGTCATTATTCAAGTAAATGTTCATCATAACCAAACATTATTTCTCCTTCTGAACATTATTAAGTACTATTTAGAGAATAAAAAAGTTTAAATTCTACATTGAGAAATGACTTACTCCCTCCGTCCCAGAAAACCTTTCTCCTTTCTTTTTTCATCCGTCCCAAAAAACACTTCTCATTTCTATTAAAAAGTCACTTTTACTCCTTACTTTTTCATACCCTACCTATCACATCATACCTTTTTTACTAATAATCCATCCATCAAATCATACTTTTACTCATCACATCAAAGGACATTTTTGGAAATTCAATACCAAAATACACTTCCCTTAAATCTCCCTTCAAAAGCAAAACTCCCATGTTTTCCAGGACGGAGGGAGTATGTTTTAGTGCTATTTAGTACGAATATTTCACTAAAATATATTTCACATCCATCACATCTCATCTTACTTTTTTTTTTTAAATTACTTTTTCCCATCATTCTTGACTATTCATTGATGTGAAACATCACTTTTAAAAAGTAACCCTAAGGCATTTCGGAAAGGTCAAACACCAAACTACATCTCCCTTAAATTACGTAAAAGTCAAAATCAGAAAATTTTTATGGGTGGAAGTATTTACGTACGTAATACGGAGTCGCTAGCTAGCACTGAAATTTTGTTATAAAAAATAGAAAATTACCCCGGGGTACCCTCTATTTTCTTGTAAGAACTCTCAGGTCCTACATTATCTAAAATATACTTTGAGGTACCCTCGATTTTTTGGTAAGAACTCGCAGTTCTCACATTATTTGAAATACTCCGAGGGTCCTTAAAATTTGTGATAATGTATTCCAAAAGTATATTCCGTCCATTTGGCCGTTATTAAATTTTAATAAAATCCTTCAATTTATAATCATTATTATATTAGGAGAATGACTTGTCAAAGTAACATAACTTTCAATCTTAACCGAACTTTCAATCCTGACAGTCAAATAATGGACGGAATAATGTACCTTTGGAATAAATTACCACAAATTTTAAGGACTCCCGGAGTATATTCTAAATGTTAGCGTTATGTATATATGTTTTATTGTAATTTTGTATATTGGGCTAGTGATGTTGGGCCCGTAGCTCATGTATATATACTCTGATGTATCAAGGAAATAATCAACCAATTCAGTTCACAATATTCTACATGGTATCAAAAAAAAAAGAGTCAAGGGAATGGGAGTTCATTTGCAAGTGGTCAACCGGTTAGATTCAAAATGGTCCGGTTGTCCACTTGAGGGGGAGTGTTAGAGTACATCCCACATCGGAAATCCAAGAGTAAAATAATCGGTATATAAGCTCTAGAGTTGAACTAAGTAATCGATTGGATCCAATCTTTTAATGTGACTCAACCTAAGTGTCTTATTGCCCAATCCAGTTGTCCATACCCATCCCAAATTCTATCGCTAAATAATGCAAGACCTGGAAATTATTACCAGAAAATTGAGAATACTCCGAAATATATTATTATTTTATATAGTGTGGAACCTTGGGGTTCTTACAAGAAAATCGAAGGTACCTTTAGTAATGTTTCTGGAGTAAAAAAAGAAGTTAAAGAAGATATGAAAAGGAATTCCCCCAAACAGAGAATAAAGTCGTTCAGTTTGTCACGTTGCACATGCTGCGTTTTATCATTCTGGTGGATATATAACATAAATTCGCACTTTTAACTTTTTGCAAGCCAGCCATATGACACGTTATAATATTTATTATTTATTATTACTCCGGTTATTTGTTTTTCTCAAGAGCCAGCCATGACGCATGTTAGCCTAGCTTAATTATCCATAGCCATATATTATGTCGCCTGTAAAATATTTATTTGGTTGATTTTTACCTGCTGGATCAAGCATGCATGGTGTTTCTCTTTTTCCGATTCCGAAAAAAGTTAGACACTTTGATTATCAAGAATTAACAGCCATCCATTGTGTCAAAAGCCATATTACTTGATTCAAATCTGAATATATATGTGCTTTTTCTGATCTATTTTATTTTTAAATTTTTTGTTATGTTTAGTTTGAGGCTCTGTTCTTTTGGATTGAAATTTCAGAGTTAAATATTAGAAGAAACTGGAAAGAGTTGGAAATATTGAAAAAATTAAAGTCTTAAAAAGTCATTCAACTAAATAATCACCAAAATAAATATGTAAGAAAACTAATATTGGGTATAATAAAAATTCATCTTTATCCGTGTTTAAGGTGACATATTATGAATACGAAATCACCTTAAATAGAAGTAAAACATAGAGAAAGTACCAGAATAGGAGTTCTATGTTTTTCTTTTCTAAATAGAAGTTCGCACTATGATAATGTGACACTGTATATGTATATTTTACTATACTTTTTGGTAATGTATGTACATAGTCATGATTAGTAATATAAATACATTTTAACTCCTATTTTTAAAATAAAAATATGAAATTCTTATTTTGGTATATTTTAAATGTTTTACTTCAATTTTAGTCTTTTTCATGAAACTAGAATGAGTTGAAAGAAATTAGAAAAAGTATGAATTGAAGTTTACTTTCTAACCTAAAAGAACAAATGACCTAAACTGTTCTATACTTCTATTATATTTACCATAGTTTTCAGAACCGGACCAGCAGTCGAACCGGTCGAGGTACTGATCCACTGGTTCACTGGTCGAACCAGTGGTTCGAAGGTTCAAACATTTTTGAAAATTTAATATATATATATATATATATATATATATATATATATATATATATATATATATAAAATCCGTAAATCCTCCATCAAATCCCCAACGATTTAACTCTGCCCCTCTTCATCTCAGCCTTTGATGGAGGAGGGGATCCATATCTAGGAAGTGCATCATCATCACTATCACTCAAAAGTTGAAAACTTGGCATCGAAGGATCGCGGGATAACATCGGATCAGGGCTGAGAAGAAGATCTGAAGTTCAAGACCTTTAGATCTATTCTTCGAGAGAGAAATTAGATTTAGATCTACAGAAGAGGAAGAGAAGAACTTAGATCTGGGAAGAGGAAGAGGAAAACTCAGATCTAGAGAGAGACGAAAAAGGTGTGGGAATCGGTGATGTACGTGATTCCTGTGGAGTGTCAGTATTGAATGGGTAGGGTTTGGGTGGAGGGGCAAATAAGTCTTTTTTAAGGAAATAGGAAGAGTTTTAAGGGACGGATAAAAGTAGAAAGAGGAAGTGTTTTACAGGACGGAGAGAGTATATAAATAGAGATATTTATTATTCGGAGGGAGTATATAAATAGAGATATTTATTATTCAAAGCATGGGTGGACCTCTAAAATTTTAGAGTCTCATAATTTTAAATTCAACATTAATTTTAAAGTATAAGTATTCAAAAAAATAAAATAGATCCCAAAATGTAAATTTTGGACCAGACCAATTTTATCATTTTTCGGGGCTAGTATTATATGAGAGATCGTAAACACTCAAATGAAAAAGAAATTTATGGACAGAGAGAATAATGTCACTAGCAAACACAATTATTCTAGGAACGAGTCACCACCTTGTTCCCCTTTTACAAGCCCGGCAAGAAGAACTTCTATGATCCATAGTGGACGAGATCCTAGAGTAGCGACCTTAACAAATTGGTATCAGGGCAATAAAAGCCATCTTTGCCTGCATGAGTCTAAAACCCTGGAGCCACTTAATAGATATCCATTACTACCTCAAGACATTTGTGAGAGAGCCTTCAAAAACCCAGCTACTGAAGACCCCAGCAAAAGCTGCAACCTCTGAGTATACATTGGTTACAACCAATCAAAGCAAGGGCACAGACCCCAGCAAAATGTTGAAGGGTAGTCGGTGTCCCGTAGGTACACCTCCCTCCGGTGTCCGATTATATAGAAGCTGAATGAGCGGTTCCGGTGATGCGCGGTCATGGTCACGCGCGTCACCGGGACGACAGATATGACATGCCTCTCGCATATGACCCTCGCAAGGGGCGGCACCGGGCCCCTCTCTGCAATTACTTCTGATGAGAACCTGTTGAGGAAATATGAGTCTGAGAAATGGGCAGGAGTGCACTGGTATGCTGCTTGGTTGTTCCACAACTCAACTCCTTTAGCTCTGTGGAAGACGTCGTCCGGCACCGAGGCGGCTCCGCTGGCGGCACTCACTCTCCGGGCCGACACCGTCTTCCACCTGACAACAGCAACTATGCGTGACACCATGGAGCCACTGCCCTGGCAGGTCTGACATTTCATCAGACCACGCGACTCGCAAGTGGCGCAAGAAAGTTTTCCGTTACCTTTACAGTTTTGACATCTGTAAATGATCAAAAACAAATCATTGATAATGTTCATGACATAATGATCACTTAAATGTGAGTAGAAAGAGAGTATAAGAGATAGGGAGATGGCTAACACAGTGTCAGATCCATCTTTATGAGCAATAAGGCCTCTCCCATAACACACGGGACATTGAGACGTTTGGCCTTCCCTATAGAATCCGGGGTCTTGATCTGCATTACAAGTAGGACAGACCACACTTCCTCGTCCGTGACAGCCTTTGAAGCCAAAAGTATATATAAAATGAATAATCAGAGAAGGCAAACATGAGACATTTTCATGATTTTTTTTAAAAGCAAAAAAGAAATTGCTAAATAAATTGGCCATTACCGGGGCATTTTCCTATACTTTCAGAGTGAGGAACTCTTATACGTGATTCTTTATAAGGTGTGAAGAAGACAGGAAATTCAGACCTTAAATCCAATTCCCATAATCCCATTTCAGGTTTTTTATCATGTCCTTCAATGCTGCCACCAAAGTATGGCTCTGTTTCTGTGGTTGTTTCCCTCTCTTCTATGAAAGTGTCAAGAGTTCCGGCGTATACATTGCAGTCCTCTACTGCATGGATTTTCCAGGTTCGAGCAGGACGACTTCCCCAACAGCAACGATGACCAACTTGATCTATAAGCAACTCTCGTATCTCTACCTCATCTAGCACTTGTCTGTCTCTTATAATTACTATTATTAGAAAATGGCAACCAAAAATTACCCAAATTTTATTTATTTACTCCCTCCGTCTTAATAAGAACCTTACGGTTTGACTTCACGGAGTTTGAGAAAAATATAAAAAACTGAATGATTTTTGGTGAAAAGTGAATATTGTGTGATTGAAATTTATGTAGAAGAGAGAATTGAAGATGTTCACATATTTATTTCCTAAAAGAGAAAGTGAAAAAATGAAAAGTTAAAAAAAAGGAAAATGTAAAGTTCATTAACAATGCATCATTCCTTACCTTCTTATGTCACCAGTAGCTCTGGCCACTTCTCCAAAATATCCACCCTGACAGTTGACTGCAGCAAAATAAGTAAATATAAAATTACTCCATAGTAAATAATGCACTGGGAGAACTCTCTAAATAGAAGCAAAAGACAATGAAAATACCAAAATAAGAGTAGCATTCTTTTTGTGACCTAAATAGGGGTTCACAGTGCCACTGCAACACTATCGTACTCCCAACTGTCATGCCCTATTGCCACCGGAGCTCTGCCTCCAGTCATCGGAGCACCTCCGCTAGTCGGCGGTGTTGACCACAGACCACTTTTGACTGGTGGTCCACCACCACACCGTCCACACTCCACCATCACACCCCTATATTGCCATCACACTACTACCATTTACACTTTCAAACTCCTATTTAGGAGATAAAAGACAATGACACTCCTATTTTTAAATTTTAATGGTATTTTGCTCCTATCTACATTTCTTTAATCCACTAGCTAAAATAAAACAACTAGTCTTGAAGAATCAACAAACTTGGCTAGTGGAGATGAACTAGTTAAAATGCATATATTATCATAGCACTAGAAAAGATGAAAATAGCTAATTGCTTTGGAGATGCACTAATACTTGTATGTAAGCAGTAATACAAGTTCGTATAAAACAACATAATGCATCTACCATGTTTTAGACAGAGAGAATCAACAACAAAAAAAGAACATTTTAGAGACTGGGCAAGGTGTTGATGGAAACAAATCTCCATTTCAAGTCTTTTTTTGCATGGATATTAGGACTATGAATTTCAATTGGATGTGTTGACAGTCTAAATTCAATGGCAATTGTATTTGAACATAATTTAAAATATCAATGATAACGTTCATAGTCTTCCTAACTGTAAGTTGACCTGATGGTTAGATGTTCTTTACAAAAACAACGGTCAAGAAACAAGATTAATGGAAAATATACTTCTGAACCCCTTTAGGGTATATTGAATTCCACTAAACTAGAAGAGGGGTGAGGATCAACATCTAATGTGCCCTCTAATACCTTCACAATTTCTTCCCCATTGATGGCCTCATTTTTCTCAATATCTTGCAGACACCAGAACGCGAGTCTTAATCTACACTCCATCTCATCAAAATCGTCTCCTTGGAGAATTTGGTTATCCGCCAATGCCTCTAATTCTGCCGCAAGCTTATTAGCCAAAATCGACTCATTGTAGGATTTGCTTATCCGCTGGTGTCTCAAAAGTGGGTCAGAATCCACACCAAATTTATCGCAAGACAACATTCTTTGTATGGTTTACTAGGACTAAGTTACCATTATAATGAGGAAAGGGCTTCTTTACTAACACTATGTTTGGTTCAAGGAATTTGAAAGGAAAAGAAAACAATTTTCCCTCATTTTCCTCACCAAAATAAGAGGAATTTGGTTTTCCCTCCCCTTGGTACTTTTTGCCTTTTCATTTTCTTTTCCTTCCACTTTTCTTTTCATTTCCTCTCTAACCAAACAAGAAAAATGTTTTCCTTCTCATTTTCTTTTCCTTTCCCTCTCAAATTCCTTGAGCCAAACATAGTGTAAAAGCTTTTTCTTTCTCTTTGTATAAAAAAATTCTGGATTCCAAACTGAATGACAAAAAACGCAAGAACTGAAGCAACGGAGATTCCTATCATACATAAAGTGCAAGTTTCACGTGATGGGTTAGTAACTTTGTTCTCTTCGGTAGTGGGCAAAACAACAGTGAGATATGAGGAAGTCTTGAAGAGTGTTACAGAATTACATGAAGAATCTAGCCAATCCCTAACATATTGAGATTTCTTCATCTGACACTATGAGCCCCACCATTTGCAAAACAACAATAAAACAATGTGGGTCATCGGCACACTGGAGTTCAGAATGTTCCAAACATGTAGGTACCCATGCTTGGTTTAGAGGGTAAACTCCATATAAGAACATATGCTCATGTGTGATCATAAAACTATTTCATGTACGATTCGGGTGATATGGAACCGAACCTCATGGCTAAATGGGCAATTGCAAAGACGGAGGAGTTGAAAAGACATGGAGTATGCCATAACCGCAAGTGGCAAAGACGCTGCACTGGTTCTCGAAAGCTTGTCATATACAGAGTATATCTTCAAGACCCTAACTCGTTCCTCAATGAGTATAGTTGAAGATTCCCATCAATGGCTAGCTTAAGAAACCACTTTAAATGTTTGATCATAACCTTAAACGGACCCCTTTAATGCTAAGCATGACGCAGAAACAGTTTATTTAGAAAGATATCCCACTCTCCAGTAAATGAAACTTTCACCCGACTTCAGTTGTAATCCCTTAGAAACGTTCATGTAAAGACGATAATGGCTAGACCTGGCAAAACTGACCCAGACCCGATAACCCGAACCGAATAACCCGAAACCGAACCCGAATTGACCCGAAAATTGATGAACCGAAATAGAAGCGAACACCCGAAATGATCCAAACCGAACCGAAACTGAACCGAATGTATTCAGACCCAATTCAGATCCGAACCCAACTTAACCCGAACCGATTAAACCCAAACCGATTAAACCCGAAACCGATTAAACCCGGAACCGATTAGACCCAAAATCGATTAGACCCAAAATGGATCAAATTTATTAATATTTCATTTATCAAATGAACTTGGAGAAAAAGAATTACCGATATATTTTTACATATGTTGATGTGTTTCTCAAAAAACATATTTAAATGAAATAATATAAACCTAAACCGATACAAACCCGAATGGATATAAACCCGAACCGATACAAACCCGAACCGATACAAACCCGAACCGATATAAACCCGATCCGATATAAACCCGAACCGGAACCGAAACCGAACCGAAAACCAGCCAAACCGAAATAAACCCGAAACCGAACTGACCCGAACTGACCCGAACTGATTATAACATATATCCGAAAGAGACCCGAACCGAAAAGACCCGGACCGGAACCGAACCAATTGACCCGATTGCCAAGTCTAATAATGGCTAACCTCTTGACTCTGGTTGGAAGGACGGAGTCATTAGTAAGAGGCATTATTCTGACTGGCATAGAGTAGGCATATTAATATTTCCCGGATATAAATCAAGAAAAGGAATTCAAATTCGTTAATCCGAACATTTCTAAACATCACAATTGGGGAAAAACCTTTATCCGGGTAGGTAGGTAAAAAGTAAGCTAACAAATCAGTTAGTGAGGTTCGGATTTTGGTTCGGATAGGAATTGCATGTTTATGGCTTAGTGTTGCCAAATTCGGATCGACCCAACGTGTTATGAATTCTATTTTTAGAATAACTAAATTCATACTCGCACTTGAAAATTGTATTAAAATAATAATAAAATATCAAAATAAATATTAAAACTATTATAATATCTTTTTTAAATTTTAAAGAAATTTTTTATATACATAACAATATTATAGTATATCATACAATATGTACAATTTTAGGACACTAAAAGAAGTAATAAGAAAAAAAAGTAACAAAAGGAGTAATAAAAATTTAAATATGTACAATTTAAAAAAAATTGAATAACAAAACAACATCATTAAAAACTCATTTGAAAAGATAAGTTTCAATGCTAAAAAAGAGTTATAAAAAAAATAATAACTTTTATCACATTATATTTCATATTAATGTACATGATTTTGAATGCTCGAGTAGGGGTAAGGTCTGCATGCACACGCTCCCCAAATCCTACTCCTGTGATTCTACTAGGTTGTTGTTGTTGTACATGAATTCGAAAAGAAATTTACTTTAACAGGTGGGGCAGATCGGGTTCAGATTCGAACAAGTTTAACCTTCTCTTAGGGGGGCCGGTCCGGGTTCGGTAACAAAACCTTTGCAACCTCGGTTCGGATTTCGAGTCAAAAATAAATATTTTCCACATCTAATAAAAAGACAGAGGAAGAAGAATTACCATAGTGATGGGGTTGGGTAAAGCCGATCAAGGGAGGAGTAAGGGGGATAGGAGGGTAGGAAATGGAGGCTGCAGCTGCCGCGGCAGATCGAATCTCATCCACGCTGACTTCCTTTCCAGCAAACGCGTACGATGAACTCCATCTTTCACTATCTCCCTGCTCGCTACTTAGGGTTTCCGATTTTCCTGTTCCGGACAAGACAGCCAAGGATCGATTAGATGAAATCCACTGAATGAAAGTGGAAAATGGAACAAGGAGATTGCAGCTTTACCTGATAACAGCGGCTTCTCCATGATTGATGAGCTTGCACTTGGTACTTCCTTCGCCTTGATGGGTTGATGATGATAAAAAAAATGGGAGTCAAATTTATGGGCTGAAGCAATGTTAGGGGTCCGTATATGTATTTCGTTTTTTCTATGGCACACCACACGTCGTGAATGACGTGATACTCCGTTGTCTCGGCCTGCTTAGTTGGGCAGACCGGCAGAGTAATGGTGGGGTACACCTTGTTTCAGTCCCGTTCTGGTTTTGGAATTGGCGGTCTCAATATATTTTTTATATATTTATAAAATGTAGTTGGTATTTGTATAATAATGAAAAATGGATAGTACATAAGTATCAACTACATTTAATGTCAGACGATTCAAAAAAATCGACAAAGTAAAGTACAGTAAAGAAACCCTTGATAAATCGATCGCTTAAAAAACTAATTTATACAGAATAGTAATTTTTAAATAAAGCTAAGTAAGTCACTAATTCGAACTACCACTTGCCTCTATGGTTGCATCTATATAGTTTTGGTTGATGATGTTATAATCTTCCTCTTGTCATCGATGCTTCGCCAAGAGCCAAGCTCGGCTGCAAACTAGAGTCTCTAGCGCCAGAAATCGGTCAAAATAGATAACACATGTCTAGCTAGCATCCCAAATGACTGAAAGATGTGTTCATTTTGCTTCCCCCATTTGAGAACATCGAACTCACTTTCGTTATCTTCATTGTAGTTGTATGTGACGCCTTGGTACATTACAAGTTTGTTGTGTGAACTTATTGTTGTACCACTTGTACTTGTAGAGGTAGCAGAGGTACTCGTACTTTTCTTCCACAAGAGGCTACAAAGGACACCTTTAATTTAGTTGTAGCCACACATGGAACTCTTAATTTATGTTGTATGTTTGTTACAACTTCCATAAAGCCAAAACAAACATGAAAGAGTATATTATCTACCAACAAATAAATTTTTACGACGAAATCTAATTGGGCTTAGATTACGGCAATTTTCAAGATTCTTGAGGAAGATGAGGTTCTCTATCTATAAATATGAATTATGAGAGAAGCGGGAAAAGTTATTGATTGATAGAGTAAAAGAGAAGGGGAGTGAAATGTGGCATCCCATCACTTGGGGGATTGCCACTTCTTTTATATCCATAGGAGAATTTTCTTCTATTCATTATTTTTATTTAATAGGTCCATTTTGACCGATATTTATAATTATTTGAAAAATCTAGACTGAGCAAGGTATTATTAATTTATTTTCCACCAACATCATAATCAGAAAGACTATATAGAGTATTTATTTTTGCTTCTCAATCCATCGTACCGAGCATCTATTTTTATTTTCAAAGTGGGATTTCCACTATTTTTTTCACAACCAAANTGCTGCAAAGTAAGCTTTAGCAAACAATTAGGACAGAGTAATTGATTGCATTTAAACCATGTGCTCAAAAATCGAGAGATAATTGTCAAAATATAACATTATAAATAGGATTATAGGAGTAACATTTTCTCAAGGAATAGAGTAATCGATTACATTTACATGGGTTCAACATTCTATCCAAATACTATCTTGTGTGTGTTGTGGTTGGGTTTTGGTTTGGGTTGGGAGGGGGGGGGGGGTAACGTACACAAGGGAACAAATTACCACTAAACTTAAATTCAGTTGATATTGGAGATCATATTCACAAGCAAAGTGAAGTTCAGATAATTTCACTAGAGACCCCTTGGACAAATGGCTAATGTATGAAGCAACTAATATACATGAGATGCTATAGCTAAATCCTGCAGTTTGTATACATAAGCAGAGCAACAATTGATACTCCCTAAACACGAAATGCCACATCTACTTATTACTAGTTTCCGACAAATGGAAACTCTTGAGCACTAGCGGCTTTTCGGCGTGAAGATTGCTGGTGAGCTTGCCTTTCAGACTCAATCCTATCCGCATACATTGGCAATCTGACAATATCATGAATCTCAGCCAACAAGATTTCCTCCGTGATATTGTCTTTGATACTTCTCATTACCTGTGTTTGATTTTGATTCGCAAGACAATAATTAATTAACATATATCATAACCTGATGGATGTCAATTTATTACGATTCCGATCTTTTTAAGTTATTTTCAGTTCAGTTAGGTTACGTTCAATAAGTTTCATATGGAAAAACGGAGTCTATATACGGGGTAATATGAAATGTATACAAAAAAAATGAATCTATTTGAGATATACCTTCCGATATGTATTGAATTCATTTGGTGTTCCTTTATCTACTCTAACCCTCATGCACACCCACACTTGATTATCAGAATCCCAAGAGCATTCAATGATTTTACCCGAGAACTCTGATGGGTCAGGAGAATCTGCAACATTTGAAGAGGGACTAATTTGAAAAAATGCAAAGAAGAAACAAAACCATATACAAATAATAAAGCATAAACACAAAGAGTTGGACATCTCAGACATGGACATGAAACTGATGAGAGTGCTCTCTTTGTTCCCCGTCCCAAAGGAATCTCCTTCTTATTTTATTTATTGTTAAAAAAAATTATACTCAAATTTCATAAGCCAAACTATGTTTTCATATTATTTATAAGCTTGGTTAAACGTTTGAACTAACAAATATAAGTAGGTTTCATGAGTTAAGATGATATGCAAATCATCACTATTCGGGCATCTAGTTTTGACATGATAGCCTGACTGCCTGAGTATCACCCGTGTGTCACAACTCACAAGATAGAACGACAAAGCATCTGACCTGGAAACACAACCCTGTTTCCATCCAAAAGTTTCTTCTTTCCCCGTTCATTCAAATAAAGTAGCTCTCGATTATCAACCACCTTCAGTCAGGGGATAAAAAATGATGATCCCAGATTAAACACAAAAGAGTGCCATATTCACAGCAATGAAGGAATAATAGTAAAAACCTCAAAGAGGAAATCAACAGAGTTCATCTCTGGATATTTCCACTTCAGGAGGCCCTCGTGAGTCCTCGTAACATACGGGTCATCCCAACCCTGTTTCAGAAGTTAAAACAATTAGAAAGTAATAAATTGTAGAAACATTAGACACTGGGACACAATCAAGTTAAACGGGGGGGGGGGGGGGTATAGCAAACAACAACAAAGCTTTATCCCACTAGGTGGGGTCGGCTACATTGATCAAACGACGCCATTGCGCCCTATCGTGTATCATATCTGCTGTGAGATTGTACACGCGAAGGTCTCCCTTGATCAATGCTTGCCAAGTCCTCTCATGTCTACCTCTTCCTCCAGCCACATGCATATTTTTTGCACTTGAACATTCTTTGTGGCATTAGAAGGCATTAGAACCCATATGCCACAAACAAAATAGGTGTCAGAAAGGGAACAACCTGAAAAATGAGGCCATCTGCTGCATGTGAAAGATTTGGGATGAACTTTTTCAAAAGTCTCGTGACTACAGAGAGGAGCCAAAAATCTTTCCTTCTGACCTGTCAAAGATTTGGGAGAACCAAGAACTCAAATCACTCAGCACCAAGGGATCTCAAAATGCAAAAGTTAACCTGGCTATAGCACATAAAAAATTTACACTGAAGGGTTCCATTTCGTGTGTGTATCGGTTTTTGCTCTGAGACCAAGCCCGAGGTTCAATCACCTCTTTTTCAATCATTTTCCATCGCTCGTTGAAGGGTCGCTGTGACAAATAAGTTATACATGGAAGCATTTCATTGTCAGCAGTCCAAAATATGTTTAAATTACAAGGATCAAAGCACAATAATAGCAACAATCAACAACGCTAGCTTTCAAGAAAACATTTGCAACCTATCTATCGATTTTATTGATACAAAATGCACTCTTAGCTTCAGCACAATGAAATGACAAGTGCCTACACTAGTCACAGAATCTCATAACAGGGTGGAATATTATGTAAATGTGTAGACCAACACTGGGAAGTAGTACTAAATGATTCCCTGGGAAGTTATTATACATTGTGCTAGACCAACACTTCCAACTAAATAAGATCAATTATTTGACCGAAGGATTATTAGACCAAAGGCTTCGATTTTAGTTGATTGAGCAGGATCAATCTGTACAATACATACCATTCAATTTCCACTTTTAAAGCATCAAATACTTAATTTGCAAATTATTACTCGATATTTTACTTAAACATCCAGTGCCTACTTCGATGGGAAATATTAACTAAATGTATAACTTCTCTCTTGCATTACAACTACATATGCTTAAATAATGTTCCATTTCCTGGAAAGATCATTACATTCCAAAAGAGACAATTAGTTATCAATAAGTTAACAGCTTCATGAATGCATTTTAGGCCCAAACAGATGAATTCAATTTGCAGTCTTTATCAGCATCGTGACCATTTATCTTTCCATTGAAACTGTATTCAAGTGAAAATTAGGAATGAAATCAGAAGACACAATGGTTAGCTAGAGCAATATTTTCATCCACTCTTCAATACACATAAGAAGCTTAAATATTAAAAAAAATCAATTTGCATTAATTATCTGCATCATAAAGATTTGCTTTAAAAAAGAAAGTTTATGAAGTCAAGATTTAAAAATGAATTCAAAGAACACAAAGCTAAGCTAGTCAGGTACTCAGGTAGAGCAAAGTTTTGATTAACTTGTCAACACACAAAAGAATCACAAACACCAGCTAAGTTCAAACACCAATAAAAAGATCATTAAAAGCATATACACAACTAACATAAGAAATGTATCTAGCCTGAAGTACATATGATACCTCTGTGATAGACATGTAATTGACTGCCATCATGTCATATATCAGATACCTTCTTTTCTGCTTTTTTGTGTCAGGTAATGTGTCAATTATCATTTCCCCATCAAGCAATGTGTAGTGATGGGTCTTCTCTCTACTCTGGCAAGCATAAATAGACATGTAACTCTAAACTGAAGATCAGACTATTTATTAGAACAACTTAATCTGGATGGATAAATCCATACTTCACTGGGGCTGGACACTCTGCATGGAAATTTCATTTGAACCCTTCTAAAGTTGAAATGTCTATCAATTAAATAACAACCATCCATAGTAATTAGCATCATATATCTTGTTCCATCAGCTTTCCATGTGGCATAATAGTAACGCTGCCTCAACAATTGTAAGTTATCCCTGCAAATGGTTAAATTCAATGTATTGTACTAATATAGCAATGCAAAATTTAAAAAACAAAGGTGCAACTAACAATGGAAGCTATCAGTCATTTAGTGACATACTGCTGCAGTTAAGGTCTATAAATCAAACACAACTATATGTTAGAATAAATGTGCTAAGGAGCACATTTCGACCATGTTTTCCATAGCAGTGCATTCATGGGTAGAGAGCCTTGTCCTCACACAATACCTGTGTCTATTTATCATCAACTCCCATTTATTTCTTGATCAAATAACCAAAGGAATTCTTGTTTTAGTCGATTGGGAAGGATTGTTCTGCACAACAAATTCTGCCTAGATTCCTCTTTTAAAACACCGGACAATTAATTCACACAATTTATTACTTACATATTTACTAAAACATCAACCCCCTTTCCCTAATTAAAAAAACCGCCTTAGATGTTCAGTCATGTTAACAGAATGCATAACTTTTCTCCTGGATAAAAACAGCAGCATAAACTATATTCCATGTTCTGTAAAGACCATTACATAATCACAGAGAACACCCTGCCATTTACGGAATAACTGAGGGACTAGTATCAATTTTTTTCTTCTAATAAATCTAAACCAAACAATTCCAATTTCTTAAACTCCATACGAAGTCGAATAGGGATGATAAAAGTGGGGTGGGGATGTATCTCAACTCTCAAGAAAAGCTAGATGCCAACCTGTTGAGAGAAACTGGATGTGAACCAGGAAATTGTGGGTTTCTTCCCTGAAAAAGATGAAATTGATTATAAGATACCAAAGAAACAGTCACAGCATAAGATAGCGTATTCAAGATTGGTTTGCTTTGTATTTCAGTTTATGTTTGGTGGGTTAGTTAGTCTTACATAGCTATAGGAACAAGAGTGCTTTTTCTTGTGTTGTTCTGAGTCCAACATTCCTTTACTTTTCTCTTCCTATTTTAATGGTTAGTGCAAGTAGGATTTATGTATTTAAGAATGTTTTGAAACCAAAAGCACATATACTGTACTTCACCTCTCTTCAATGCTATACATCACATAAGCCAGGGATACTTCACTCAACTCCTACTACAGTGCAGTAGACTACCTAATAACATTCTTCCTCAATTTATAATTAATATATGTTCTAGTCTGGACCCAAAGGTATCTAATGCAGTCTTCTATATCAGTTGCCTCCTTTTGGTGAATCTGTTCGTTCCTACTTTCCAAATAGCATACACCAAGGATGCCCAGACAGCACACCATTTTTGTCTCTGCTTCCTATCTTTGACACAGCCAGTTTGGTGCAAAACTCTCCCAAATTAGTAGGTACTATCTTGCACCTCAACTGACACATCACCTTCTCATGGATCTGCCTGTAGTAGCTGCAAGTCCAGAAAAGATGCTCAGCATCTTCCTCCCCTTTGTCACAAAGAACACAGTCTGTGTTAGTGTCTACAAACTTGCTTATTCTCTTCTTAACTTGCAGCCTATCTCTCATAAACAGCCAAACAATGAATTGGTGCTTAGGGATATTGAATCTATTCCAGACAATGCTAGTCCGGCTGGGTTTGCTGTGATCCCTTGTTAACCAGTTGTAGCCATCCTTAGGAATATAATTATCAGGTCTGGGCATCCCATGAAATTGATTTCTGACGCCTATCATTTTCTTCCAATAGAAGCACACATCATATCTAGGTGTAAAATCCAAGAAGCTGGTCCCCTGAATATATCTAGCATGGATCCATTTAACCCAAAGATTGTCCTTCTTGTTAGCTACATCTCTGTTGAGTTTCATTATAGTAGCATTATTTCAAGCTACTATATTCTTGATTTCAAGTCCTCCATTGCTCTTAGGGATCTCAAAATGCATCCTAATTATTAGTTAGTAAAAGGAATTCGAGAAAGCTCAACTTCATCCCCTTAATATGTGTTTTAATTTTATAGTAATATTTATCAGACCCTCTTGTTGTTGCTGCTGCTGTTGTATTTCTCCATCTTGTTCATGCAAAAATTGGCATCGTTTGAATGATCTCGCTGCAGATATGATACATGACAAGGCGCAATGGCATCGAGTGATCAGTGCAGCCAACCCCACCTAGCGGGATAAGGCTTTGTTGTTGTACTACTCCCTCTTGTTCAAGCAAAGATTTACTATTTTTGGCTTTGGGGTAGAATGGAATAACGCAAAATGATTCTTTAAACTGTCTGTGCTTCTTTCGAAATGCTCAAAATGGCGCATTGCGGTTTTGAGGCACTTTTCCCTATGGCATGTTGCGTAAACTTCATTTTAAAGTACTAAGATAGTAACATGTGCATAAATAATTATTAAAATTAAAGGTAGAACATTATTAATAGCATATTTAATCCATACACAATAAAATATTGGTTATAGGCAACAGGCTTAGTGGGGTGTATTCAATTCAGATTTTAATAAATTGTGTTAGATTTTTTATAATCCATGGATTTTTACAAATCAATGGATTATTTAAATTCTATAAAGATTTTAATGCAGTTTATTATCAAGATTTGTTTAGATTTCAAAAAATCCAAGGATTTGTCGTCTCGAAAGCTCAAGAATCACTGATTCAAATACCAAGCATAAGAAAAAAACTCTATTTCTAGAAGAAACATGGCCATTCCAGCAGTCTTGCAGCGCGTGAATCTGACCTCATTCTTGCAATCAGAAAATAAACCCCATTTCAACGGCCAACAACCATCACCGTCTACAATAAAAGTCTCTACTCTTCGATGAGATGGTCAAACCCCCCTATCTGATGCTATCGCGCTATCGCCGTCTGGAAATCTGCTGCTTGTCGTATTTGGATGTCATATCCTTCTTCACTGCCAATGCCATAATTGGCTAGGTGCAGGAGCCATGCCACTACATCAAAACCCTAGAGGTAAAAACTTCATGGAGCAAATACTTTGAAATCTTTTGGTTTCTGGTAAGATTTCTACACCAGTTTTTATTTATAACAAATACACTAAAATCCATTACAATCCATCACTTTTTAAATTCTTTGGAAATCAATAGATTTTTCAATACCATCAAATTTAAATGGATATTTTAAAAATCTAGTTGAATACATCAAGATTTAAAATGAATTTTTAAAATCTTAATTGAATACCTATTGATTTTTATAAAGTACAAAAAAAATCATGTAAACTCTGTATTGAATACACCCCCCTTGAATTGCTGAATGCTAGGGCTGACATCTAAGCAATCTGATTTACTAAAAAGGTAAAATTAAAATTTTAAGTACGTTAAATTTTCAAGTTTTAATGACAAAATAACAATAAAAACTCGAAGCAATAAATTAGAAGCAAATTAGTGAAAATAAAACGATATCATTAAACAATTATAAATAAATAAAAACAAATAAAAGAAGAAGGGGAGACCAAGGTGGAGATGAAGACCGCCGAAGAGGAAGTCACAGATAAAGAACATGGAGATGAACGCGTAATACTAAAGAGGAGATTGGACATGTCAATAAACTATAGTTATGTAATTTAGCATTAAAATTTTCTAATTAAATTATTAATATAAACTTAATCTATTTTTTTAAAAAAAGGTGTACGCCTCGTTTTGCCTCATTGTGTAGCCTTCTTGCTCCATAACTAAGAAACCCATATGGCCCTCGTTTTTCTTCGAAAATAGACATGAGGCAGGCAATATAGTGTATAGTGCAATGCCATTTCAAACATTCGAACTAGCAGTCAGTCAATGCAACTCTCAACGCTCATCATGCGCCATCCGGAAACAACTGCTCTATGTTTTAAGCATAGGGGTCACGCTGCATACACCCCCCCCCACACCCCCCACACCCCTGCAATGGGCGAGAACCTTCAAGGCACTGGGATAATGTTGTGATATCCGTTTATCTTACTATTTTTGCCCTTTTCCCGACTTTGGGTTATCTCAAATTTTTGTAATATACGGAGTACCATATTTGGTTGTCCCTCAATACTGCTATTTTTGGAACATTGGGTAGTGGCACACAAATTAAAATTGCGAAATTGTGTAGTTGATATTGATGTTAAAAAGTAATAAAAATTAAGAATGAACCTGACCTTCGCAAATATTACTACATATTGCATGAGAAAAAATTAGGACGGACAAAAAAGGTAAAAAGGGGCAAATTTAGTTGGACGAAGGGATTATGGTTTATGTGGCTCAAATCATTTCAAACTTTAAATATCCAATATAAACCACACCTTCACTTTTCCTAGATTTGTATGCCACTTTCAGATGTCCCAAAATTAGTGGGACAGAAAGAGTAAATGTCTTCCTGAATGAGGACATGATAGGCGCTACCACAGCTCATAGGGCGAATTCTACTGAGGAGACGAGTTAATCTAGGGTCCCCCCCCCTCCCCCTTTGATAAAACAAATATCTAGTTGAATCTTTCTTGTACAATTCCATCATCCATTTTCCTCTCTGTGCAGCCTTCACTCCAGAAAATCCCAAAATGTCCATCCTTCGCTTTCCCGTGATGCAATACCAATCAAGTTACTGTGTGTGTGCAAGCACAAATGTGTGTGAAGAAAAAGAGAATAATGTCCTTAAAAATATTCATATACCCCAGGTGGCTGCAACTTCAGGAATTGGTAGCATATCTGACGTAAATAATCCTGTTGATCAGAAGGGATACCATCTCCGAGGAGGTCATCATTTGTCATTACAACCTGAGGTTCTTGACTAACCTGGAATATGATATAAAAACAGCAGGAAAATTTTCTATTAAAATAATATCTATATAGACACTTTATATTTCTAATAAATATACCAAAACATGCATCTAACGCATCATTCTGATATGAACCAATGATTGACAAAAACAAAAAGAAACTTCATAGAAGGTACATACATGTGGAGGAGCTATAGCACCTCCATCATCATCGTCATCGGGCATAGCATCACCATTCAAATCAAATTCACAAGATCTCTTCCACTCCGGAGTCGGAGGACAAACAACCGCTTCAGGTTTCCTCTCGTGATAAAAGGCATACAGTGCATCAATATAATCTGGTTTATAAATACCAGGAGGCCGTACTTCAGCAAATTCTTGTATTGCCTGCATGATTCACCTCACTTCTCAGTTGAGACACAGAAAATAGGCATTGAACTTTTCAAGAGCAAAATTCAAGAACAAAATTCAAGAACGGTGTTAAAATGCTTTTCAAGAACAAAATTCACCTGAGTGACAGAAATTGGCATTGTACGCATGAGATAGTGAACAATCATATACCCAGTGCGGTTATGCCCATGTGTGCAATGAACAAGAATGTACTTTTTGGTATTCTTCTGTCGAGCAATGAACTGTAAAACCTGATAGATAGAAAATCTAAACACTCCATAGGGCAGCATACAAATTTCTAAAGGAATAAATAACCCACTCCTCATCTTTAAGTCTACTTTACTTGAAACAACAACAACAACAATGTTACCCCCCGCCCAATGCGGGGTAAGGGGGTCAGATGTAAGCACTAAGCAGCCGGGTCCCTATGTTTAAACCATATAGCAGCCATTTCCAGATGACACATAATGAGTGTCAAAAGTCTACTTTAGCTGAAGCCAATTAAAAAACCCTTCAGAAATACAATGCAATACAATCGAAAACATGGACCGGTAAAATATTGTTCGTGTGTCAGTCACCCAGACAGTCATCCATCTTATGAGCTCACACACTCCCTTTTATAAAGCATATAATCAAGTAATCAACTACATGGCGGTTTGGTGGAGTGCCTTTCACATATTTCAGATAAAAATACATGTTGCACTCGGCCACTTTTTTAGCTAGACTTGATCTTCTCCTCTTTAAGGATACAAAGACACATTCTATGTGCCATTGTCTTTGAGTGCAATTGTTCATTGCAAATTTCATGTTTTCGAGCATGAGCTTCAGAAAATTGTTAAATGCTCTATAAAGGAAGGGTGTTGCAAAATTTGGCAGTTCTCTTTTACCAACATCACAACTTACATAGATCATAACTGGATGCTTATCATTCTATAGCATTTTTATAACTTCCATAAAGCCAAAACAAACATGAAGGAATATATTATCTACGGAGTATCATAAAGACCAACTTATCTAGCACTCGGTGCACAACATAGTTGCAAAACAGAACATGAGAGTAAATTTCATCATTTCCCACACAAAAAAGCATGCATGTAATTGTCACAATCGTATATTGGTTTCTATGTTAACTATTACCTCATAAACAAACAAATTCACGGACTCATTGTCAGGTACAGAATCACGTCCCTTGCACATAATCTAAAATGTTGTAAATTCAAAAAAAATTAGGGTGATAGCAATACATCGCAGAGAAAATAAACTTGGAACAAGCTACCCTTTCCCTATAAGAGGTTAATGTACCTTGACATGCTTGATGCCTTCTTTTCTGAAGTCTTGAGGTGAGTAATACCTAGTGGTATTTGTAAGATCTATCACCAAGCCCAGCTGAGAATGTTCAGGATACTACTTATCATTACATGCATATGGAAAGGATCGACAGTGCATCATATTTAGAAGTCTAATTAATAGACTAGCAGGAGGAGGAGGGTATAAATCCCAACATAAGCAATAGCGACCTTAAGAGTATAGGTAAACTGTTCGTATTTAATTTAAAAAAAAAACTGTTTGGTTAGGGGAAAAGAGAAGTGAAAGTGGTGACCAGGAAACGGAATCTTATATAGGAAATGGACATCTATTTTTCTTGTTTTACAATGTCTACATGCCAATCTAACGTACCGTTCTTCCCAGGACTCTTTGTTGATGCAGCACTTGCCTAATTGAGTATCTCTTGCCAGGAAGAACATCATTATTGAAGGTTTCAGAAAGGGGAACTTTGGAAGGAATAATGTAACTTATTTCCTTACCAGAAGCAGGGCAATCCAACCAACCTGCAGCACAAACAATCAAAAGTGGAGGACTTCTGATAAAGAGAACATGGTTTGTGAAATTTTGGGCAAAAAATGCAGCAATGCATATAAGGTCTAACACAAACAGCCTCTCTATCTTTACAGGGTAAGACTGTGTAGTAGTTGTTGTTGTTGAGAACATTGTTTGTGAAAACTAAACTGCATGAGAAAAAATACAAATACGAATAAATAATTTTTTTTGTGATAATCACTTAACTAAAAAAGATAAAAAGTATTAATAATGAAGATTATACCAAAAGAGAAATTTACCTAAATAGGACTAAAACATAATGACTTTCCCAATATAGGACCATATGTTTTTATTTCCCAATGTAGGACTTTTGGTCATTATCAAGTAGTCATTATTCAAGTAAATGTCTAGCGTTACTGGACATTATTTCTCTCACTAGGTCATTATTAAGTCCTATTTAGGGAATAAAAAATTTTAAGTTCTACATTAGGAAAGTCATTATGTTTTAGTCCTACTTAGTGCAAATTTCACATACCAAAACTGCATGCAACCAAAGCACCCAGCCTACAGCTATCGATGAAAAACATTTTCTATGATAAATATATTGAATACATTTACCTCAAGAGTGAAGGCCAAATGGCATGTGATAGTCACTCAGTTAAAAAACAGAGAGAAGTGAAGAAACGGCCACGGTAATCACTAAGTTAAAAATAATTATTGCAAATTTATACTCCATCCGTTTCACATTTTTTGAGACATGGGGGAGCGCTATAAAATTAAGAAAAGTGGAATTGTGTGGTTGATATTGATGTTAAAGCATAAGTAATAAATAAGAATGAATGTGAGCCATATTAAAATTAGAGTACTAAATATGGTAGGAGACAAAAGGCGAGACAGACTGATAAATTATGTCCTCATGGGAATCACTACTTCCTGAGCAAGGGTTTTTATTTTACCTACCAAGGGTATGAAGATTGTTAGCCATCTTTAGAAACTTCTTGTGGAGTGCTACTTCATACTCTAAAAGGACCCCTCGGGTTCATTGGGAAGAAATCTGTTTACCTAAGAAGATGGGAGGTTTAGGACTGCAGAACATGACTATATGGAACAAAGTGTCTATTATGAAGCTGAATTGGGATATACGTAGTAGCTACAAAGAAAGACATTGGGTGGCTTCAATGGATTCATAACAGATATCTCAAAGGAACCACTATTTGGGATTATACACCCAAACCTGACAGTAGCTACTACTGGAGGAAGATAATCAAAGTGAGGAATGACTTCAAAGACTTTTCTTGCACTGAAGACTATGAGATTCATAAGACGTACAGCTGGCTTTGGGCAATAAGGAGAATCTCCCCTGGATCAACTGGGTATGGTGCAGGAATGCTTTACCCAAATGGCAGTTTATAATGCGGCTTATCATGAGTGAGAGACTTCAAACTATGATGAGACTCCATAATTTTTTAATATTTGATGTGACATGCCCTTTGTGTAATTGCTTTGATGAGGACCATAATCATCTTCTATGTCAATGTGACTATGCTTGCAAGGTCAAGAATGCTCTATTTAGTTGGCTGAAGGTAAAAGTTCATGGGGATACTACTCTGGCAGCTTGGGTTGCAGTCTTCTATTACATTTGGAGGGCTATGAATTGGAGAATTAGGGGTGAGCAAATTAACCAAACCAACCGGAAAACCGTGGAACAAAGACCGAAATAGCCAAAATTTTGGTTTTGGTTATGGCTTTGGTTAATCAATCTTAAAAATTCGGTTGATTCGGTTAATTCGGACGGGTCTCGGCTTGAAGCTTCGGTTTCTTCGGTTAACCAAAACACCGAGCCTAATATGTTTAATTATTTATACTCTATATGATCCATTGGTCCGTATATAAATTATCAGCCCAATCTAATATAGGCCCAATTCAATACACAAAACCTTGGTCATTCACTCTTCAGAAGTTCATGCTTCAATTCCCAACCCGCATACTCAAACCCTCCACTTCTTCTTCGACTTTGCAGTCGTCTTTGCTACTTCCGACGGCTGAGAGCGAGATTGCGAGAGTCTACGACTGCCGATGATAGAGTCGATTCTTAGTATTTTGTTGTGGTCCTTCTTCTCTACTTAGCTAAGTAATAGTGTGAAGTATTTATCCACATATCGGTTAATTTTTCCCTATGTTTATCTTCCACTATTCGAAATTGGAATTGTAGGATTAAGATTCAAAGAAAGCATTTAATATGCATTTTTTACTTCGAAAAAGGATTTCCATTTGAGACCTCTATCCCTAAGGTTTAATCAACAACACGACCTGAATAGAGTGGCTCAAGAATCAAAAAGGACTTTGTCTTGTTGAGATTTACATTTTTCCGAAATGAACACATTTTCAGAGGAAGTTTTCAGATCGGCACAGTTGGAGCTAGCCAACAGGGGCGACCTAAGTTGTTTGGTTTATTGAAAACTGACCGAAGTATTTTCGGTTCGGTTTACTCGGTTTCAACATTAAGTCAGTTCGGTTCAGTCGGTTTTTTCTGAGGCAAATTGTTTTTCGGTTAATTCGGTTATGGGCCAAAACTGACCGAACCGACCCAATGCTCACCCCTATGGAGAATTCACAAAAAGACCCCATGGAAGAGGAAGCTATCGCTGCTATCAAATTTCATATTTAAACTTTTATTAAATACAAATTAAAAGCTGGTTTTATAGCCTAGTAGGGGAGCAGCCTTTGTGGTTGTAAGCTTTTGTTGGTTTAGTGAATGAGTTTAGTGTTTTCGGTTTTAGAAAAAAAGGCGGGACGGACAAAAGAGGTAAAACGGGGAAAATGGCAGTACAGTCGTACAGAGGGGGGGTATATACAAAAATTGCATGTGACCCAACCTAAAGCTATCACTGAAAAGCCTTTTTTCAGTATATATAAATTGAATTCAGATAACAGCAGTAATATGGAGTAAATGGTAACAGAAGAAATTAATACATGTACAAATCATAAGTGCAACAAAGCGACAAGAAATACTGAAGCAGTAAAGCACGTCTTTATGCATAAAATAAGTTCTACAGATGAACAGGACAGACTTGCATATGAGAGAGGCACAAGAAACCGGATATGACAAGGTAGCAATAATGTGATAGAGATACAAAAAACAACAATCCAAAAGGTGGGATCAGGGGGTGGCGTATGCAGACTAACCCCTACTTATAAAAGGTAGAGACAAATACAGAAATAAAAGACACAACTCTTTCTTTTTTATAAATTCAACATCCTGTTCGTTTCAACTTTCATTTCACTATAACATACCCTGGAGTATTACTTTTTTTACCAAAATTAGTTTTCAAAGCAAGACTTGTAATTCATGAATACAGCATGTACAACACCCAACAGATTCAGTAAAAAATTACCTGGTGGTGGCTGGTTAGAAGGCCTATGTTTTTTCGCTTGGAATGTTTCATCATGCATGTGTGGCAGAGATGCATATGCTGGCCTGTCATCGGGGCGTTGTCTTTTAATTCGTTGGATCCTTTCCTCGCGCTCCTAATACAATAACAGGTAGAAGATAAAAAAGATAACTAAATGGGTGATCAGACTATAGAGGATGTAACTTCTATTGTGTTTTTAAAAATTAATTTTCTTCCATTAATGAAGAATCTAATCTTCGAACAATCCATTATGACCATTCCTTGTTCAACTACAGAATGTATCAGATGAGACACTCCAGCGTGTGATTACTAATTTGGATAGATTAGAAGTAGCAACAGCTACAAGTTAAGGTAATATGCACTACCAAAATAAACTGAATTTGATATAGGATGGAGGGGGGGGGAAATAAACGATCTACCTTGCGTGAAATTTCTACAGAACTCACTGCATAATCTCTATGTTCAACGCTAGGTTCTACAACAGGCTCTTCAGATTCTTCCTCTAGTTGTTGTGTAAAGAACTCATCATCTTCCTCTGGTTGTGGTGATGCATTTAGGTCCATACTGACACGCACCAAAGATGCACCATGGAACACGTGCCAAGACAATGAAAACAAAGTTTATTAGCATTATTTTGGCAGCAATGCCACGGTATTTTTATCTAAACTACCAAACATCAAAATGCAATCCAATTATAACACCAGACTTGAGTAACAACTCGAAACTATATGAGTGGTTAAAATGCATTCAAATGAACAATGTCAAGGGGTATCGACTCCTATCAACCAAATTTATCTCAGTGTTGTGATCATAAGATCCACAGCCACAAAGAGTCTCGTAATTTCTATGCGCGCAATTCCAGTATAACACCAGAACTAACTGGCATTTAACATCCCAATTCCCAGGCTACAGAATGGCCTTAAGGAATCAAAACACTTGAACGCATCAAATGAATCTTAGCAAGCACACCAAATGAATATAGCTACTAGACTAATTAACTCAAAACAAACAAATTGGCAAACATTTGGAAGGAAAAAAAAGGACAAATACCCAAACCTTCCGTGAAACAACTGAGCTCAGGGACAAAAATTCCTCGTTACGACCGACCAACCTGAAATCCCCTGCAATTGTAGCCCTAAAATCGGAGGGAAGCGCCCAGAGCAGATTTTCAACTCACAAAACCCTAGAGAGAAAAAGGCACAAGTGATGTACAGAAAAGAAACGCTGAGAAATTGCTGAATCCATGGCAGAAGAAGGAACCAACTGAGATTAAGCAACACGGATTCGGCGAAATCAAGGAGGAAAAGATCGAAAGAGACGCATGTTGTGAAGTTGCGTGCGTATATCTGCGATGTATCGTCGGGGTGATCGTTGTTGGAGAGAAGACTGGTTGTGGGATGCCGAAATGGGAGGCTTGATAGATGAACTTTAGCAAAAGAAGGAAATAAAAAGGGCAGGGTACAAACGTCATTTCAAAATCTTATGCCGTCACGTGCCCTGTAATATCTATATATTTTTTCTCTTTTATTTTTGAAGAATTTTTTTTTTCAAATCCTTTACTACTCCGTATAATATTTGAGACTCCCTTACAGAATTTTGACATGTATTTGGCATTTTTAAATAAGTTATCTGCCACCTATTTATTATGTTAATGAGTTGGCAATTTTAATTATTATAAGTAGTGATTTGGTATTATTTTACTTTATTTTATTTATTGATTGAACATAGTGACAAATTTAATACTCCCTCCGTTCCAAAGGTTGAAAACAGTTGATAAAAAAAGTCAAAACTGGACAAATACTCAGGGACGAGGTAATATATCTTAGTAGTATAATCAAATAAATTAAATTAAAAATAATTTTAGTCAAATCTCGTAAACTAAACTTGAAAAAAAACTTTAGGACGAAGGGAGTATAAAAAAAAGTGTTGTGCAACAACGGATAAAAATTAAGCATAAGGTTAGTATGGCCGAAATGAAGATGTTTCGAATTTCGATGGATGAACGGTCATACACGCATGGATATCAAGGAACGAAGATTGAGAGTTAAAGTGAGAGTGACACCTAATATAGAAAAGATGGTGGAAACTCGTTTTGAGTGATCTGGACATATAGAAAGAAGACCAATAGTGTCATTCGGTGAGAATAATTAATCAAATGGTGAATAAACATGTGACTAGAAAAGTAGATAGACTTAAGAAGATTTAGCATGAACTGATCAAAAAGGACCTTCACGTGAATGACTTCATTGTAGGTATGGTACATGATGGAGCACAATGACGTTGTTTGATTCATGTAGCCGATTATCTAGTGGAATAAGTCTTTGTTGTTGCTATTTTGTGATTAGTAATACCTTTGTCTCTAAAAACTACCCTCTCTCGAACAACATGGAAAATATTGTCTCTTTTAAATTAATTTTGTATACAAATTGATAAGAAAATAAAAGATATAAATTACATATTTAAAAGAAAAAATTTACAACAATACTCAAACAAATCTCTGACTTTATAAAATAATTCAAAAATCAATTAATTACATAATTACTTCCACAATTTTACTCCCTTTTTACAAAAACACTTCACCCGCCACCTCACTTACATAATCATATTGTGTAATTTCTGCATTCATTTTTAAGTGATGCTTTGAAGATTAAATTTTTTTTTACAGTTTTCATAAAATTTAAATTTCGTGTCTCACAATTAGGGTTTGTTCTTTTCAGTTAGAATTCTAAAGTTCGATGTTTAAAAAATTTGGAAGAAGTTCAAAAAATTAGAAAAAGTTAGACTAAATAAAGTATTAAAAAAATCAATCAATTAAATGATCACTCAAACAAATACGTAAGAAAACTTCAACCTTACAAAAAAATTATTTTCCATACCATTTGCATTTCTTTTTTCTTTTTAAAATCATCGAGCCAAACATAGCGTAAGTGTTAAATGTATCTATACCATTCACACTATACAACTTCCTCGGGTTGCTCCTCTCCATAATATTCCATATACATTTTGTCTTACACAATTATTACTAGATAAAACAAATGCCACTACTACTACCATTTGGTTGATGCACATAGTGTTAAAGAAAAGAAGCCTTCTGCTTAAAATACTCTCTCCCCTGTGGCAAAAATGTTCCAAAAGATGGCTGTGATGAAGTAAAGGCATGCCGTGAGCGTCAAAAACGACTGGAAAGAACCCAGCCACTGGACGAAAAATCCTGTCCCAATCGTACTCACTATGGCAGCCATTGTTCCGGCTGAGTTTGAAATCCCATGGAGAAATCCTGCGTACTGAGGTGCTATATCCTGTTCCAAGCGAACCCCGCGCTAAAATTAGAACATCACAAGGTCCTATTTTGGTATGTGAACCATGTTTTTAGTCTTTCTTAGTTAGGTGATTCTGCCATTTTAGATTGAACACAAGGTCAACAGTATATCACCTTGTATACTAAAATGTGAGTGAGTTTTATTTGCCCAAAAACTTACTTGCATGTTTAGTAAAAACCCAGCCTGGCTGAATGAACTAAAGCTTAAGGCAACTGTCATCACAATGGCTGCAACCTCAGGTGTCCTGGCAAAGTTCAAGAACAGCAATGACACTCCGGGGCCGATGAAGCCGATAGACTGTAACGCCAACCACAAAGTGCATGTGAACTTTTAAAACTTTAAGTGACACACACACACACACACACATTTTGAACATAAAATAAATCCACCTGCATCACTTTACGGACAAACGTTATGGAGTATCCGGCTTTAATTAAGAAATCTGAGAGTGTCCCTGCAACGTAGCCTGACACTGCCATTGTTGCCCATGGCACAGCACTAAACCAGGCTGCTTGCTTCAAGTTCACATTGAAAACCTATGCAAGATATTCAGAAATGGATGAAGATGCTTGTGATTTTACTATTAAATGCTTGAGAGATTAATCACTCTAAGGCCAAATTCCAAGGAAACTTAGGAGTTCTGTTTCATAAACTTATGATAATAGGTAATAACTTACAGTTTTGAAGTACACTGGCATCCAGGAAAGAAGAACAAAATATCCCTGCATTTAAGAGAGACATACAAAACCATCACTCCTTTATTTGAATAAAAAAATAGTTGATTTGAGGAGAGAATGGAAGCAGAAAAAGTACCCAGTTGTTGGTGACATTGGCAAATATTATGGCCCAAGTGGGCATTTTAGAAAGGAGGAGCCTTATGGGAGGGAGGCTGCCCTTATTAAGGGCAGGAGAATCAGATTTGCCCGATTGGATCAACCTCAGCTCCGCCCTTGAGATGGATTTGCTTTGGTTTGGATCATTGGTGACTTGGAATGCCCACACATTCAGCCAGAGAAGACCGAGAGCGGCAAACAGGACAAAAGGCCCAGAAATCCCCATTGATGACATTGCCAAAGGGGCTAGCATTAGTCCCACCACATTCCCAAGATGGAATCCTCCCATGGATATTCCCACCGCCGTAGCCCGTTCGTCACTTGGAAACCACCTGATGGCATTACAGAGTAACCAACAAACATAAAGTTTGCCACTTTACATGAATTTTTTTTTTCACAGGAAAACTTTGCTTACTAAAAACATGCCTGGACAAAAGGGTGTTCATGGAGGGTAGGGCTACCCCTTCGGCAAACCCGAAGAAAGCGCGAACGGCTAAGAGAGAGAGTGTGGAGTGGTTTGCTGCCCATGGAGTGAGAAGAGTGGCCACTGACCAAAGGGCAGCACCCCAAGCAATGGCTTTCTTTCCTCCATATTTGTCCACCAATGCTCCTCCAATCACGGACGAAAATATGTATCCCCACAGGAATGATGACTGGCAAGGATGCCATGTATAAGTAATTACTCCGTATATAACAACAGTAAAGAAATGAGCTAAAGGAAATATGTTCGGAAAAAATACTTTAATTTCTAGCGGAAGCAATCGGTATTTCCCTTCTTTGTGTTGTTCAAAATCTCAAATAGGAAAATTTGCAACGGCTAAGTTCTTTTGACATTGATGGCCATAATATGGCATTGGTTCATTTAAGGCACCTACGATGTTTGCTCAACTCAAAAATGGTTCCTACTTCTCTAACCACGTCGAACCCCACCCCCTAGCGAAGCATGTGTGGCAAATGTAATTAAACAACCTAACAAAACAGAGTGCCAACAGGCAAAAGATGGTGCAACATGTTGGGAAATTGAGATGACACGAATATATCTGAGAGTCGTGATGACACGTTCAGATTGATTTTTTGGGCGTCCAGTCCAAAATCAATCTGTCCAAAATCAATCGGATAAAACTCAAATTATTGATAAAAACAAGTACGATTTGTGATGAACTTTCAAACTACATTTCTGACCAAACTTGCGTGAATGTTTGATAGGCGCGGGGAAGGGCGAAAAGATCGCGTCTAAACACGCAAAAATAGTAAGAGGCGTTGTTTCAAATTTCTTTAAGTACCGAATCAGAAAATAAAAATTCAAGTGAATTTTTAACACAATACTTTGTTGACCCCAACCAGGGGGTCTGCCCCTTGGACCCCGTAGGGCTGCCGCCCCTTGAACCCCGCTCTCGGAGGCGCTGCCCCCTTGGAACACCGTTATATAATTAGGGGCAAAACAAGACTTTTATAATAACAAACTTGTTGATCAATTCTTAAACATAAAATATAAATTAGGGATTTAATCATGTGTACCTGATAATCCTGTAAACGTGGTTAGGGATGAGGCCATGATTCTCACGCAGATCGAGTTCCCTTTTAGGGTGTATTGTTATGATGGCTAAGGCGAGGGCGAGACTCACGAGAATAGAGAGGCAGAGAAGAGGCGTAAGATTGGTGTGTGGATCTCTGCCTAATACCTCTATTTATATACACCCAAGGGGAAACCCTAATTAGGTCATAAGGGTAATTACGTCCATCGAATAATTACCAAATAAATACGTAGGGTATTTATTAGGTCAATGATCAATTAATTAGATAAATGATAACTCAGGCCATATAATAAAAACGTGTCCAACATTCTCCCACTTGGCCGAGTAATCATTTATGATGAGTATTAGATAAGTCTGATCAGATTTTAATACTCATTTTAGTTCTAAACCGAAATTGTAGCAGAGAAATACAGTCATAGAATCGATATTCAATTCAAGACCCCCATTAATCATACTACAATACCAAATTTAAAAACTTAAATAAGCTAAGGATCAAATTGACAATTAAGCCCATAAGATTATTTTGTACATAAATGTTGTCTATATGTCTTTAGGCATGCGTAGACACATTCAGAGACAAAACAAACAAAACAATGAGGAAATTTTATTATTAAATGTAAGCAAGTACAATATGCAACTAAATAAGGTCTTTAGATAACCCCATCTTCGAAACATGTTCTTCGAAAATCTTAGGAGGGAGACCTTTAGTCATCGGATCCGCAAGCATATTCTTAGTACTTATATGCTCAATACAAAGTTTATTTTCCTCAACTCGCTCACGTACGAACAAGTACTTTGTATCAAGATATAAAGCAGCGCCAGTCGAACTGTTACTGTTCGAGAAACTAACGGCGGCTGAGTTATCACAATAAAGCTTCAATGGTCGAGAGATGGAATTAACTACTTTGAGTCCAGTGATGAGGTTTCTGAGCAACAT